GAGTGTACAAGTGGGTCTTTATACAATAATATATTTTTTACTAAATTTGCTAGATTGTGATAAAATGTATCTCTAAGAAATAAAAATTAAAGTTGTTGATCGAGTGTAAGGCACATAAAATGAATGCTAAACAGTCTTTCTAAATTTAATGATTTTTCTTTATTTGTTATGCTCTAAATGCTATATAAAACATATACTAGAAAATGTTTTTTGTAATTCTATAAGAATAATTTATGTAACATTTCTTTAAAAAATACTGACAGGAAGCAGCCCATGGTTTGGACTAAGTTTTAAATTTTGGCCCCTTTATGTGGCCGAGTCTGACTCAGCTGAGTTAGAAAAATTAGTAAATCAATATCATGTTAAAAAAGAAAGTTCTGACAAATTACAAAATTATATTTTTACAAATAAGTCTTAAAATTGCACTTTCTATAATAGTTGAATAGTGCATTGACACTAACATTTAACTTTAGATTGTTCTTCTTTCATGTACAGTGCCCTGAGACAACGTATGTTGTGACTTGGCGCTTTATAAATAAACTGAATTGAATTGAATTGAACATTTCATCTCATCCAGTGTTTTCTTTCTCAAAAAAAAAAAAACATCAGATAAACTTAAAAAAAGAAGCACACAGTCGCATTCCTCAAATTTACTAGTGACGCAGGTTTGTTCATTTCATTTTAACCTCTGACCTCTACCCACAATGCCGTGTATTGATTGTCCTTTTCTCTGAGAAGGCCAGAAATGAAGTTTAAAACCAAAGTGGATGCTGAGTATGTTAAAGCAACCAGAGAAAAGAAGCCAAGTCTGCCCATTTTAAACTATAAGAGACAATCAAAGTGTGGCACAGTCCTCAGCCCAAGTCGTCCTGGAGGAGAACTTGCAGCCGGATCAATCTGGCTCTCTCTGTCCAGTGGCCCATTGTAGTGACCTTCCTTATTCATAAAGCTTTCCAGCATGGTGTCAGTGCAAACAGTGCGACAGAGCAGCCCTGAATACCTCAGACAGTCTCTCATTATTCTTTCTCGTCCTCCTCCTCCTCTTCCTCCTCCCATCTCCGCCCCATTTCTCTCTTTCAGCTGAGGAACATGATTAATGTGCACCTTGCCACTGGTGGTTTTTCTAATTGCCAGCACACTGGCCCAGTCAGCGCAACGCTCAAACACACACACCAGCTTTTCAAACACACGCACATAATGGTCCAGTATGTGTGAAAAGACGAGCGCACAAAAGCCATGCAAAAATGCAAAGTAAAAAACACACGCCAACAATAACAAAAGGATGCATCCAAAACTACTCACTCACACACACACACACACACACACACACACACACACACA